CGAGCAGTTTAGGCTCGATTTGCCCGCTTCGAACCCGCGATGTGGAAAAATGCTAGAACGAATAAAGGTTTTGCGGGAGTTTTAGCACAAAAAAGTGACCAACACTTCCATACAGACAGGCAACAAAGTTGTCTCCTGAAATATGATAACTTCAACCTACGCTTATGCGCTGTGAAGATGCTATTTTATGTTTCATGATCAACTGTGAGGAAAAGTTGAATGAAATGCATAGCTACTTGGTACCACTGGTAACCACATAAATACTCTGTGATTTGCTTTGGAAATATAGTTTGTTTTGAAAATTGAAAGTAATGCGAGGGGAATTTAAAGGGTTCTTTGTAATAAAACAAATAGAAAAGCCTTGACTGTGCTCTGTATTGTTGAAAAGAACGCAGGATTCGGTTAGAGCACGAAAGAAGTGTAGTGAGGTACACGAGACGTGGTCGAGTGTTTCTCCCCACTTCTTGAATGTTTCACAACAGAACATGGAACAGTTAGGGCTTCTCTATTTGTTAAATAGGGAAAGCAAAAGGCAAGGCACGCGGGAAACGAGGAGCGTGACTCACATTTCACGCTAGCCTCGCGCTTACCTCCGCTGGCCTGAATACTACTCTTGACTGGTTACCTTCACCAATCAAACTATCTTTGCTGCGGTTGGGTTTTATTTTCAGAGCAGCAACTGGCCGATAAAATGAGACCATTGGGACTCAGTTGGACGTGAAACCTGGCCTCGGAAGTTTATATTGTGGAATTTCATGTTCTTGGCCTGAACGCACACGTAGGGTGATTGACTTTCTCACGAGATGACGAATCTCAAACGCAACATCTTCTGCAAAAATACCTTCGTGTAAACGCAATATATTTCTCAATTTCTGTTGCTTAATACATTTCTAAGATCAAATGACTAAATATCTTTATTGCGCCTTTAATCTTTTATATTTCCTTTGTATGTTTACGCTGTTCCTTCTCTCTCCATTAGTTCCCCCGGGTTCCCCTTCCTCCTTTCGTTTCTTCCATTCATTCCAGAGGGGATACGAGAGGCCGAAAAGTGGGAAGCAGGATACTCGAGAGGGAGGGCACGAACGAAACACGATAACAGCGCTATATTTTTTTGACAACGAAATTGCTGTCGGGAATCTACCCTTTGGAAATGAAGGAAATGATACAATTTTCACATATTTCGGCCTTCGGAAAAGGTTTTATTTGTGGTTGAATAATGATTATTCGATAAAAAGACGTATTGACGACGAAATTATGATGTCAGCCAAAGATTCAACCGCGTTCACCTAGTCCCCTCTCTTTCACCCTCTCTCTTGAGGGAACGATGTCGCCAAATATTTTAATGATTTAGAACTAGTGATAGAATGCTAAAACTGTACATCGAGTTCATCTCGTATTTGAAATACGCCAAGAAAAAACTTTTCCAACCAAGCCGAGCAAAATAACTTTACCATGTCAAATATTACAACCTGGTAAACATCGTCCTATACTCCAACGCCCCACAGATGCAGATGCCACGATGAATTCAGAATTCTCCAAATCTTTAGTCTTCCTTCTTCGCGACAACGAAAAAAAAATTTTAAGAAATAAAGAAAAAACAAAAACAAACAAAGAGCAAAGGACAAACACGAAAAAATATTTCAGTCGAGTTGAGCCTTGACCGCAAAGCAAAAAGCATTCAGTTGCTTCAAGAAGATTACAATATTGGTTGCGGTCGAAAATAAACTTCAAACAAGACCGCTTACCTCCCTGTCGTCGCTTTACTCTTGGATATAACGTGATGAAAGGTAACTGACGTCATGCTTCAAACAAGAGCCATAACAAAAACAAGAGCACCATAACAACAAGAAAGTTATGAGACGTAAATATCACCTTTCGGCTCCTTTGTGATTGGATGAAGTCCCTGTTGTATGGGTGAGGACGGATTTTATTAGTCAAGGAAGGGTAAGAGCTAATTAATCTCTTAATTCCAAGTGGCAGGTAAAAGTCATAAATGGTCATAGAAAGGGAGAACAAAAGATCACCGTTTTTTTTTCCTTTATTGTTTTTCGCGACGTCGTGTCTGCGTGGTAATACTTCCCCTGACTCTCCCAGTTAGTGAGTACCCTCCCCATCCGTCCGTCACTGCCGTTTTTTAGGAATATCCCGCAAAGTAAATATCTGAGAGACTCGAAGAAAGTAAGGCGCAAAGCGGCACACATTTCGAAAACCTGCTTCAAAAATGGTAGACTACCACCGGGTTTTAAAGGCAGCATGTATAATTTTCAACATGATTATGTACACACTACTTCTGGTCATGAATTACGCTGCAAACAACAAAAGTGGGATCCTTTTTGGGAACAAATCCGTCAGTCAGGTGATACGAAAATACTCCATCGAGTTCAGCCCTGCGCCTTATGCCTTTGAGATCTGGAAGCTCGTAAACGCGTGGACCGCTGCATGGATTCTATACACGCTGTCTTACATCTTCAGAAAACGCATGCCCGATGCTTTGAGTCCGTTTTTCTTCGTTTGTTTTACGCTGGCTACAGTTTCGAACATGGCTTGGACTCAGTTCATTAGCTGGGAGATGATCAAGGTAACATCAGGCTTCGTTTTCGCTATGGTGGTGTTCCTCTACGCGTCTCTCGCTTGCAGCTTCGCTGGTTTGTACAAACAGCGCTACTTCATCGGTCGATTCGATTATTGGGTCATTCACATGCTGGTAAACAATGGGATTGTTGTGTATGCTACATGGGTCACCGTAGCCGCTCTTCGCAGTCTGGCGTTAATTCTGACGTATTTCCACGGCATAGAGCGAGAACTCTCGGTCACAATCGCTTTGGGAATTCTCATGCTGTTAATCGTGGTGTGGTTTATCCTAGAAAATACAATTTTTAGAGAAGATCTATTGTATACCATAACAATTTATCCAGTTTTAATTTGGATTTTTGTCGCCAGCATAATCCTTAACTTGAACCGCGTAAGCCGCCTAAATACGGCCATTATGCAATCTCTTCTTGCCGTGTCGTGTACACTCTTTATTGGAAAAATTAGTCTCGTCGTGTGGAAAATCATCAACAAATGTCGAGACACCAGGGCAAAAGCTGACCTAGCAATGATGGAGATAACTCCCGGGTCTGATGAGAACCGCGAACAAAAATACACAGACAGATCGGAAAATCAGGAACTTGTCGATTAGGGTTATTTCAAGCCAAGCACATTTGCTGTTAATAGATCGAATTATCGATATTGTAACCCTACCCGCAATACCGATCACGCATTTTAAAGATGCTGTAAGTGATTCTGTCACGCTCTGTTTAGGCCTAAACGGTGTAGCTAATATAGGGCTCCCGGTGATATCAAAGCGGACAGGAAATTAGAGATGCTAAAACGTTGACAGACTTGGTTGACGATAAACTCGACTCTTTTGCTTTGTTTTGTTTTTGTAAGAGCCCTTAATGGACTCCTTTTTCTGACATCCAAACGATTGCTCCTGGATAAAAGGTAATGTTGGTAAGATATGTATCATAATCACAAATTCCCTGTTGATCGATTCTTAATCAATCAGCCTTGGCTGAAAGCTTTTTGAACTATTCAAAAAAAAGAGATAAGAAATGTTCAAAAAGAGATATTTGAATCTCGTTTTGCCACGAGCGTCGGACAAATGAAAACCAGTTTTAAATGTAATGTCTTGTCTGACGTTCAGATCTTTAACAATATGTACATTCTTGTTAAATTGTTCGTTTTATTATAATTGATGACAGTTGATTAAAACAATATTTCAATAGCTTGTAGCCTATGCCAAACTGTTGTTCAAGAGATGAGTGAAATGGCGTACGAGCGAAATGTCTTGCTCTCTTTCCTTCCTCCACATCCCTCCCATCCCTCCTTCCTCCCTTCCCCACCCCCCCTGCCATGTGTTAGATTTTGGCTTTACGACCCAAAACAAAAATGTGTCACATCGATAAGTTTCACTATTCAGCTTCGTAGTAACATTTTCCTGCGTTGACGGCCTCGCTTTAATCTCCATCGTTTTCTTCATGAGTCAATGTTATAGGGCCCATTTCTATTTCAGACGCTGAGGCATATATCTTGTATCCAAAATAACTTTAATTTGTCTCGATGAGTTGATGTCAATTCATCCAGAACGGCGCCGGCTTAAGGGCGTTTTTTTGCTATGTTTTATCCAGAAAGGTCGATTAAGATGATTTAGTGCTTGATAAGTCGCCGAACTTTCCGTGACTCTGTTATAAATAGATTCCATTTTGCCGTTCATTTGTTCTGTAATGGATCGCAGATGACTGAGGCTCTCATCACATTCCGATGTCTTCTGTGATCACTGAAAAAACTCATGGTACCAGAGAATTTAATTGCTTTAACCAAAAAAGGAGCAAAATGATTCATTTGAAGAAATGCATCCCGTATTTTCGAAGCTGCTGAAGTATTTTTTAGGTGTGAGCCGTCAAGTTTCTGCAAGAGCCTGAGGCCGAGTGCACGTGAACCGTAATTTTGGCAGAATAAAAAGTTTCTCTCATTTTTTCGTCTGACTGTCCTAATTGTTCGATAAAAACACGACTGGAGAAAGAAATGAGAAGTAAAAATTGAGTTTTTTACGTTACAGTCCACCTAATAAAATTAAAATTCACTGTAACTGTTCGCGATCGTTTGTTGACTCGGAAAAAAGGTTATGCATCTTTCCTCGCAAACGGTTGTCGAGAATTTAAAATAATTATGCCCGTATTGTGGCATTTCCATTTAAGCGTCGACAAAAAAACCACGGTAGCCACAACAACGAATCAGAACAAGGTTTTAAAACATCGTCATTAACTAATGTGAACCAAGAGAGTATCAACTGATGATCTTCTCATGTGTGAACTGAAAGTGAACCTGCTTGAAGCGCGGGAAAACGCAAGTGACTTGATTTAGATTGGTTTTAATTTTGCTTTTCATTGGTTGAGATGGTAGTGCGAGTTTTTTAACCAATCACAGAGCAGTGTAAGCAAAACCTAAGTAATAGAAGACTTTCGATTCTCAGTTGAAAACTGCTCAATTAGTGTAAATCTACCTTATTCTGTCACCAACAATGCATATTCAAAAGATTTCAGGAAACTCATTGGCTGAGAACACGTTAATTAATCCTTATCACGCAGTTCGCAGAACCAAGACTCAACCATTTATTTACTGGTATCCCAAGACCTTACCGACTGTTTCGAGTTTATAGTGACCATAACTAGTACTCAACATATATATGTATGTATATATGTGTGTATATATTACATATATACACATACATATACACAAGCACACATACAGGCCACCCAACAAAAGATTTTTAAGAGACATAACACAGAAACAAAATTGTTTTCATACTCAAGCGAGATTCGGTTTATTTGAAAAACTAGCTACGTAAATTTGTAATCAAAATTTCTCAATTCTATATAACTATTAAAATAGTGTTAATATTTGCAACAATACTAGTATCAGAGATGATTCAAAATAAACAATTGCTATACAAACAGGCAACAACGCCGTTCTTGGCTGACATTCATTGTATCAGAATTCAGTCAACATTCATAATTAGTTTTAAACATTGGAATTGTAGTCACGACAAGTTATTCATTACCATGCAACATTTGACAACCTTTAAGATAAACAAGATCAGTAACATGCAGGATAACCAAACCTTGACCCTTGATGTACCTTTAGAGCAGTTTTTAAGCATTTAATTCCCAAGTTTTGATCGTTAATTTTCCCCTCTAGCTGCTACACATTTCCTTGTAAATTAGTTATGAGAGCATGGCGCTACAACAAGATAGAAGCTTCTACCTGAAAAGTTTGAATAGTCTCATTACCTGTTTGCTGAATGATGTATGGATATTATTAGGGAGAAGTTTCATGCTAATTACTTTTGGGAGTTAAACGGTTAATTGGGTGTGAAAAAATTAGAAACTAAAGTAATCAATTCTATCAATCAGAACAAAGCTTAACATTGTCATTAACCAATGAGAACTCACAGTAAAAAAAGGCAACCAGCCTGACGTACAGGAAAACACAAGTGACCAAGTTGGGATTGCTGTTGGTTGCTCTTTCAACAATCACTTCAAAACAGCCTATCTTGCTTTGATAATCATGCGTTGTATTTATTATCATTTACATTTAAGCACATGAAAAAATTAATTGTAGTGAGTAAAGCATTTGTGGAATGTCATTTAGGTGATTTCTTATCATTAACTGAGTGTGTATAATTACAAAAATTGATTTGAGAATTTGCTTCTGGAGTTTCAGCTAAAAAAATACATTTATCATTTGAATTGTGATATTTTTGACACAAACATTTAAAACAGTATTTGTTCTATTCTCATTTCTATTAGAAAGCTTCATTGTGACAAAACTTAGAATTGTTACAATTCAGGTCTTTGTACAGATTCTTTTGAACTTCATTGGCTGCAGAAAAAACTTTGGTCTTTGCTCTATTTAACTACATATCACCCCTAGAAATACAGACCACAGTGAATCCTGTCTTAACCCATTACACCCTGACATCAGAATGCATATTCTCCTTACTGTTCTCTCTACATTTCCTAAGGTGTCAGCAAGAAGAATTTGTTTAACAATCAAGAGCTTCTTTAGTTGGTGATAATTTCCTCTATTCTCATGACCTTTGTGTTTGATTTCAGAAGAGATATTGTAGGGAGAAACTGGACGCTAGGCACTCTGAGGGTTAACGGGCTAAGCAGACACCTAGAGTTAACGGAGCTTAAGTGGCCTTCATAGAAGTGTTTTTTTTTTTTTTCATTCAAGTCCCTTGGAACAAAGCATGAGGGAAAAGTATAGCCCAGTATTGACTAAATACAGGATCTCTTCTTATCCCCTTTTACTCCAAAGAATGATCAACACGTAACCTCTACGCACAATCTCCATATTATGTCAAGAAAGCAGGCACTGAGAATTGATTGGTCAGCCCTAAAAATTGTATTGATAAATAATCCCCTCTTATTACATGTAATTAATGAAAGTATAGGAATGCTATACATAAAGGACAGATCATAAATCCTATTTTGGGAGAAAAGGGTTATTTGAACTTTTTGTTTAACTGTAGTTTTGAATCATTTCTTGCAGGAAACATTGGGGTTCTCTATGGCTTTTTTCTGCTTAATGAATGTTTCACTGTTATGGGAAAAAAGCTGAGAGGCTTTGCTGCACTTCTTGTACTGAAGATCCCTCGTTGAGAGCCAATTGTCCTGTGATTCCAATCTTTAAAGTAAACTAAGAGGGGTAAGCATGTACTGCACCAGCAGGAAAAAGGGATGCCTTGAAAATTGTCTCTGATTTTTCCCATCCACAAAGGACACATTGTCCAATTCACTAAAATAAAAGTTTGTAATGTAACTTTGAAATGATTGGCTTTCCTTTGGTTCATGGATGTAATTATATATATCTGTAAATAACCATATTTTAAAAAAACTTCTTCCACATTGAAATATGCTTCCTTTTCATTGATAAACATCTCAGCTCTCAAATCCTTCATTTTGGTGCAGCATCATACTTTATTTGAGTTGGGTTCTGCATATCCACTGTCCGCCTCCCCCTTAGCAGGCACCTGATTGCCTTGGTAAAATGTAGGCTAAAAAAAAAAAAGGAAAATTTTGTTAAAAATTGACCCAAACTGACTCTACTGATTGGTCATGCAAGAAGGGTTGCCATGAGTTACAATTAATGACATACAAATTACTGTAAGGTCCAAGATTTTCTTTGAGGGTTTACCAAAGATTGATGATGAGAAGCACATGGTGTCAAGTATCAATTGTTGCAGTCAGTCTACCTAATTATGTTACTTAGCCCTTTCACTCCCACAAGTGACCAAGACAGAATTTCTCCTTACAATATCAATACAATATCAAGCAGGCAGGTGATGAGAATAGAGAAGAATATCAATCATGGGATCATTAGTTGATCCAATACCAAATTCTCTGAACTAACATCATAAGAATTGTAAGGCAGATAGTAAGGCGAATTACTAATTAGATCTTGGAAGTGAAAGGGTTAAATAACATTTTGACTTGAAACTTAATTCCAGAATGAAGGAAGGATTAAGTGTGTGAGTTTCTGCCACACAACGACAATCATTCACTGATTTTCATGACTTAATATTTTTCCTTTTTCTTCCTTGATTCCAAAATAAATATTGACACAAATACATTATGCCAATTCCTACACTTCATGTGAAAAAATAAGTCTGATGTTTTTCAGTCATAAAATTTCTTATTTTAAAACTGTCTGCCATTAACAGATCAAATTAAAGTCAAGAGTCATTAGGGACCTGAATCAAGATAAAAAATGAAGTCAACCACTTCCTTATTGAAACGTCAGACTAATTTTGAAATTCAGGCTCAAAATTGCCTTGGCAAATTTTTACCAAAAATTCAATGGGAGTTGCATCAGAACAGGAAAATATATTCATCTCAAGGTGCAATTTAACATCTTAAAAAATTAAGCCTGATAAATAAAGAAAATATCATTATTTTCTTCCACTGACCGTGGTAGGTACTTGATACTCTGATGAGGCAGGATTCTCAGAAGGAGCCTCATCATCATCTGAGTTCTCCTCTCCTGATGATGTTTCGTCTCCTTCTTTTTCTGCTTTTCGTGGTGGAGTAGGAGCAGCTTGAAAAATGACATAATTATAGTTAATGGTTGTAGATTGCTTTGTAAAAGATGCATTGATGTGTTAACATGAATCCAATTGTCTGTTTCTTCACTTTTTAGTCTTCAATGTGACAGGGTGAAATTTTCACTTGTGATATATTTAGCACAATGACTTGGTGCAACCCAACAATTCACTGCTACATGTAGTTCAATCAAACACAGTCAAACCTTACTCATGATGGGGAGAAAATCATTGTGTGTACATCACACATTAAAAACCTACTGTGTACTATAATTGTAATGTTCACTTCTAATCTCAACCATTCTTTGTGCATGTTATACTGCTTTAAATCGACTAAAGACAGCCACAGCAGTAAGTAACTCAGTCAGTGAGCTTAGGGTTAATTCAGTCCTTCTCCAGCAAACATCTTAGTCTGTCAGTCAGTCAGGTAGGCAGACAGACAGACAGACAGACAGTCTGAGAGACAGACAGACATAAGCAAGTTACAAAGAGAGTCAAATGACCCTTCTTCAACATAACTTTCAGGACTAACATAAAAAAAATGAATCACAGTGTAATATACAACCCACAACAAGAAAAGACAACCCAAATTGTACATATGAAATGTTTCAAGTTAATTCAACCCATATTATGGAAGAAATGACATTATGAAATTGTTTATCATATAATATTACAAATACTCCTATATATACATCATGCATAATTGTATGCCTGTGATTCACACTTTTTGTTTTGGCTGAAACATGGCCTGGTCAGGTGATATTATGCATGATCACCAAATAAAGCTTTCCTCATTTATCGGCTCGTAAAAATTCCCTCTGCAGTTTAACATCCACTGTTTTCCTTTTCAGTTGCAACTACATAAAAAAACGATTGAAACAAACCACATTCAACTTACTTTTTTTCTTTGATTCTTGATCTGACTGGGTCTTGCCACTTGATAAAACATTATAGCAGTTGTCACACACTCGCAGTGGTTTTGAAGACTGAGCAGGGAGGAGGAACTTCTTGGTGGAACAGTTACCACAAACAACTCCACCACACTTCCGACAGTGGTGCTGTGTCAAGCAATCAAAAAAAAAAAAGGTAAGAAAATTCGCAATAGCAGGTCAGGGCAATTTGAGAGGAAAAATTGTATTAGGAAGAAAAAACTAGCATAAAAAAAGTGAAAATGTGATGAAATGCTTATGGACTGAAAAAAGTCAGGCCTTGCCATAAAATGTTTCGCTCTTGCAATTAATGCAGGCACCTAACTACATGCGGTGGGGAGCATATGACCTGAAGCCAAATCTTTTCCTGTCCAGCCCTCTCATTCAGTCAATAAGTACAAATCAGTCATGCAACACTTACCCTTCTATTTAATGCTGTGAACTTGCTCTTGAAACAGTGCATGCAAGTGGATGCCTCACTATCTGGAACCCAGACTGCAGCGTGTTCCGTGGTTCCCTTCTTTCCAGCTAGAACGAGATAATTAAACAAAAAAAAGGAACTTGAATAAGAAACAAAGGTTGAGACTGAGTTTCTGGTAACAAAACACCCCTTTTTAACCCTTTACACCCTAACATCAGTATGCATATTCTCCATACTGTTCTTCATACATTTCTCACAGTGCTAACAAGGAGAATTTGTTTAACAATCAGGAGCTTTTTTTAGTTGGTGATCATTTCCTTTATTCTCGTAACCTTAATGTTTGATTCAAGGGTGATAGAGTAAGAGGAAGTTAGATGTTAGTCACTCTTAGAGGTTAAAAGGTTAAGAAACACCATTAAACAGTCAGCTTAAAATATGGCTCATTCATGGCCATTGTTTCCTGAAACCCTTACAGATGAAGACAAACATGTATGGTAAAATTGTTTAATTTGCAATTATTGCCTGCACATGATATTATTATGTTCCACTATTATTATATACTAGCCTGCGGTTAAAAACAAATTTACTATGGGTCATGTTGCAAGTCTGTACACAATAAGATTCTACATAAAAACATGACATGATTGTATATTATTTTATGCAGTCTGCATGGAAGGTGAGGCTGATTCCAGACTCAAGAGATTACCTTGTCCCATTATAATCATTATATACTAGCCTTTAGTTATAAACAAATTTACTGCAGGTCATGTTGCAAGTCTGCACACAATAAGATTCTACATGAAAGCATAACATGATTGTATTTCATTTTAAGCAGTCTACACATAAGGAAAGGCTTATTCCAGACTCTAGTTGACTATGTAAAAAATACGGTAACTTGTTTGAGCCTGGGGGTAACATTTAATCACATGGTCCTATCGTCCGTGTGAGAGTCGCTTGGGAAGTGATGCTGTTAGTGGTGACTGACATTTTGACAGCCTATGTTAGTCACTACTGCAACAACAGTCCATCTCAGAACTACTCTCATGTGGATGAGCAGATGACACAATTAAATTTGTACAAACTGTTCAATAACAAAAGCCCTCATTCTCACTTTTTGCCAACAAGTCCTGAATGCACTTGTTGATGTGTGCCATCCATTCAGCTTTTTCAGTCCTTGTAGCAGCATACACTGCAAATGACTTCTTTGCACTAATGATTTGCCAACCATTCTTTAAATCTAGAAGGCAAGCACACTGAGTAATTAACAGTGGGGCATCAAAAGTAATCCAGGTTTTGCATTGGTTTTGTTTTATTGTACTGTCTGATCAGTAATGGTAATAGGACTGAGTGGAATCCAATTTGGTCTTTCACCCTTTACACCCCACACTGTAACATCAGTATGCATATTCTCCCCACTGTTCTCTATATACTTTCCATCAGTTCTGACCAGGAGAAGTTTTTGGATACTCTTAAATTGGTGATCATTTCTTTTATTCTCATGAACTTTACATTTGATTCAAAGGTGATATTGTAAGGAGAAATTAGTAGCCAGTCACTCTTGGGGGATAAAGGGCCAACCACACAGTCAAGTGATTAACAAAATCAGATGTGTGACTTGTTTACAGACAGAATAAGACAACACGAAGTCCTGTTACCATTTAATCAAAACTATGACTAAATTTGAGACACAAACAAGCCATTGGTTATACTTTTTTATAAAAAAAAACAACAGTTGACAAGACAAAAAAATTGACCACAGCACATCTTCATGATGCATGCTTTCCAGTAACACAGGCATGATGTGCATTTTCCAATTACATTGTCCAGTTAGTACTCTATTGGGGCTGGTGATAACAAATCGAATTCAGGAATTTTCTCAGAGTTATGATTTTTAACAAAAACTTTTGCTCCCCTCCTAATCAATCACTTCAGACTATAACTTTTGCTTGTTTTTACTTTGAATTATAACTGGTTCATTATGATATCTTCCTTAGTTTTGACTGACCACTTTTATTAATGTTTTGACAGTCATTAACATTTTTAAAAGGAAGGTAAGTGTGTATGATGGCATCCCCCCATTGTAGACATAGTTAAAATTACTAGCTTCCCTCATAGACATATCAACCTGCAAAAATGTGCTATAAATAGATGAACTTAACAGCTGCAGGGTTTTATTCTGATATCATATCAAATAATATTTCAACTACTTATTCACCAGGCAAAATACAATAGCAAAAGGATTGAATTTCTGATCAGAACATGGATTACAACATAACAGCACTCACTTCCATCATCATCCAAGGATTGCAGTTTGATATCTTCCAGTGGGATTATATGCTGTTTATTGTACTGAAAAGAAATTCAAATCACTATTAACCCTTTACACCCTAACATCAGTGTCCATATTCTCCATACTACCCTCTATACTTTCCCTAAGATGCTGACGAGGAGAATTGGATAATTGTTTACCAGTCAAAAGCTTCTTTCGTCGGTGATCATTTCCTTTATTCTCAAGATCTTAACGTGTGACTCAGGGGTGATATTGTAAGGAGAAATTCCATAGTAGTCACTCTCGGGGTTCAAAGAGTTAATGTCTTGTGAATTTAGCAAATAGTTCACACTAGAATAGCCTTTTAAATAATAATTGCTCAACTAATTTTGAAAAAGTTCTAGCTTGGAGAATACAAAATGCAATAATGACAAGCTTGCATTAGAAATGTAATGTCACCTTCACAACCTTTTATTTGAGACAAAAAACAAAAAGCTTGCCCTTTGCTCTTTACATTTTGAAAAATTCAATGTAAACCTTGATTACCTTCTTCTTGTTAATGACAATATTTCCATAAACAAGGATGTCATTAAACAGAAAAAACTGACGTGGTTTAGGCTTCTTGCGGCACAGTTTGGTTAATACACCTTCACCAACCAGTACTCTTCCTGGAACCAATAATGGCTAAAGAATAGAAATTGGAGAAAAAAAATTAGAAATAAACATTAAATGTTGGGGTGCACTCTAAGGTCTTTTTCTTTGAGTATCCTTGTATCATTCACTGACAGAATAACATCATCTTTCTCTTTACCCTTTATATCCCAGAAGTGATTAACATGTAACTTCTCCCTGCGATATCTATACATTTTCTAGACAACAGTTAATGAGAATACTAAATATTTATCAGGAAGACGTTTTTGTCTTGATCTTACACCAAATTCACATCACTAATTTACAATGAATTGTGTGACAGCAAGAGGAGAGAATTAACAATCAGATCTTGGGAGTTAAAGGGTTAAATCATAAAGCTTAAAATTTACCACCATCATTTACATAATCATAATGCAGAAGCATCACATATTGACAATCCTATTCTAGCAGCATGCAGGAAGTTTTTCACCATGGACCGAGTTAAATGGCCTAGCCTGTCACAAATCTCCCAAAGCTCTGTGGAAGAGCATCTTAAATATTAATTAGAAGGTTTTTTTTGTAGGTTTGACTCCTATTTGAAGTACTTGGAGTTCTTTTCTCTAAGTATGCCAATTTCATTCACTGATTAACATCACCTTTCAAACATTTATTGTGTCGTGCTTCCGTAAACAGACAATACACTTCATGTGTGCACATTTTTATTAGGACTAGTGGGTTTATTTCATCTAGGAAAAAAGTCAACAAGTATGTTTTCCATTTATGAATACCATTGACTGATGAGTATTACTTTTGACTGCTCATAACAGGAAATTGTGTCTAATTTGGTCTGTAATTCTAGTTTACTAATAGTAAACAATAAGTAAGACTTCTCCTTTGTGGTCATCCAGTTCTGGTATTCATACATCAAATAGGAAAACGCCATACTGAACTCTTGTCTGTTCTAATTACCAGTATTAATTTCCAAATTTCAAGATCCATCCTACTAAATTTGAGTCAAGTCATAACATGATTACAAATGCATGCCTATTATTAATGCACGTTAAGGTCAAACCAAAGTTATGAGAAAGAGCAGTCTACTATACATATTCAAATCACAAGGACCAAAACAACATCAGGACATGATCTGCATACTTACTTGTCCAGATGCTCCAAAACAACTTTCCACATTGGTAATTCTTCTCTCGTTGGCCTCTGTATTGGCTGAAATTATCACACATACAATATTTTAAAAGCATTAAGGAGAGACAATTAAGATGACATAAACACCAAAGGTCGGTTGTTTCAATAGCGATCAGTAGCCTTAAGCGATCGATAAAATTTTATGGGTACACTGTGATACCTTTCTGCAAACAAATCATTTAAATGAAGAAAATGCTACTTAGACTCTTCAGGTAATGAAACATATCCAAACTCCAATATTTAATAAGTCTATAATTTCGTCTAATATGGTGGTTTCACCCTTTCCCAATCCCACTGCACACCTCCTTCATAAAAATAAGCCATTGTTCCCTCTCTGCCACGATCGACTAATTTGCTGAGCGAAAGGCAATATCATGAAACAACCTCATCCGAAAGCTTACAGACACTTACACGCAGAATTAAGCTAGCATGACATGCATGGCTGAGAACTGTCAGGCCGCCATTCACATCAAAAGTCGTACTCAAATATAGACAATCGAAAGTATTTCACACAATGAAAATGCCCATCATCAAAAAAGATCGAAAGTTAAGGAAGTATTTAACCCTGATGAGGTTTTTTCAGGAAACCCCGTCCTAAAAATAACCGAAAAACGTTACAATTCCTTCACATACCTAATCGGTCCACCATCTTGGCTCCAAGATCATACAGTGGTTCCAAATCACGTGGTCATGAAGCAATCATGATTGGTGGGTGGATATTCGTTATTTCGTCACGAGAGGAACAAAGTGACGAGGGGGAGGGTCTCAAATATCTACAATGCCATTTAAGGTAACAAAATTAATTTTCTACCGCACATATAGCTCATTGCTAAAAGCGGCGAGTTGAAACCACTCACAAGAGGTCATCAGTTTATCACAACTGGACTGAGACCCAGGGAGCCTTAAAACTTGAGTTACTCAGGCTGGTCCAGACCCCAGCTGACTTTACAAGCAAAAGTTTATTTATCTCCTCTGATTCTTCAAAAATTATCAAATAATTTGATACTAAAACAAAAACATCCTTTGAAAATAAGGGAATCAGCCCTAAAATTCATTAGTGTGACCCCTGACCAACACAACTTCCTTTCAGGTAATGTAAACAATTTTTTTAACTTGCATAATGGCATCCTCCTCTGGTGAAAAAACCTCCAAGATTGAGGGGGAAATGGTGAGGACACAAAAGCATTACATACATATCATATCCTGGGTCAGGGTCTTCTTAAGGGAGGGGAGGGGAGGGGAGGGAGACAATTACATGGGTGGGAGTGTAAGGTCTACATGTGACACTGACAATCATTTTAATCTAATTCTAAAAATTCAGACCCAACACAAAAGAAGCAGTATGAAGAGAGGAGAGGGGAAGGGGGAAAGATTTAATGCTCTTATCAAAAGGATAAACTTATAAGTTCAACAGCACATACCCAATAGAATTATTCTACCACAGAGAAGAGTTCTAAACTTTTTCTAAGACAGGAATCTGCTTATATTTGATTCATGACCTGCTAGGTGTGTGCAAGCTATTTTCAAAGAAATAAGTCCCATGCTATTGCTACTCAAATGCAGTAGCATCAGCAGTCTTGGAAAATGACAGAATTTTGTTTGTGACTTGTTAGCAATTTGTGTTAACCAATACAATATCCCTGCAAAATTGTGGCTTCTCATAGAAACATTAAATTCAATTCTTATTTGAAAGTCAACCCATTTATTAATTCTACATATAGTGATATGATTTACATGCTGTGATTTGTTCACAGTTTTACACTTGGTTAAAAATTTTTTCCAACCACCACATAGAAGAGTAAGCATATACCTTGCAGGTAAGACATCAGTGGATTTTTAATCATAAATAAATGGTTATGATTCCAGTGTCTAGCACTCTCCAATCCAAAACACAACCTTTACCAAACTGCACCTGTTTGCTGTATTTTCATGTTTTAGAAAGTGTTTTTTTTATTTTTTTTTGTGCGTGATATAATGGGAAAAATTAAGTAGTCTATAACTGGATCATGAAACATTCTGCAAAATCTCATTGAGAATAGGCTGTGGCAGGGGTAACTTCCTGATGTTCTGTGATAAAACAATCTTCCTAAGGAACCTCATGCAGTACTCCTCCAGACTGTACACTACCGAGTAATCAAAACATTCAATTATTAAAGACAACAATAATTATATTTTTTAAAATTGTATCCATATGAAAAATGGTTCTTCACCACATACTATCTGATACAAGCCAAGCTAAAATTCCCAGGCATGTAATGTGGAAACATTTTCCTGTTTTCATCAATTATAAAAATTTTCCCAGTCAATTCATAATTGGGTAGAATATAAGTGTTTAAACCCTTTAACTCCCACTTCAAATGTTTAATTCTCCTCACTGTCAACCATGCAATTCTTATAATGTTAGTTCATAGAATTAAGTATGGATCAACTAATTTTTCCCAAATTAATATTTTTCTTTATTCTCATCATTTATCTGGTTGATACTGTATTAATACTGTAAGGAGAAATTCTGTCTTGGTCACTCGTGAGAGTTAGAGGGTTAAAAGATCTTGTTATCTTTGATAGAGTCCATCCATGTACAGTGTACTGTACGACTGGAAGGGCACGGGGAGGTTTCCAAGTAAATCTGTCAGTTTGGAGCAAAAAGGAACTTAACAATTGCCCCTCGCAAAAGCCACCAATAGGAAAACAGTACGGTATATCTCTTAATTTTTAAACCGACATCATCCTCAAAGGCATGCACTCCATAACACAACCCCTCTACAGCTATCAATAGCCCGATTATCTCGTCTAGACTTTGTAACGATTACAAGCTACAGATGCATTACTCCAGAAGATTGCTGTCTATTACTCTCTTGCTCTTCCATACAATATTTTCAATTAACAGGTACGTCCGAGGGAAGCTAAAAATTGCGAAAAACAACTAACCTGGTGTTGTTATGTTTATTTCCGCTCTAGAAGCATAGAATCTTCGGGTATCATAGTCTACTCCCCGTATAACAGGCTCGTCGGGAAAAAATGTTTCCTTGAAGTTCAGTAACAGCCTTTCATTCGTTTCTTCGTCTACTGCAATCCAAGGATGTGTCACATATGTGTTCATTTTAAGGCGATTGTTCGTTCGACTCTCAATGGTGGCAAATAACTGTTCTTCACCACTGTAATTGAACCATTTCAAATTGACTCTTCGTCCTGTGTGATTTATGAATAGTACTGGCGATACGATTCTGTTGTGTAACGATTTAAGAGGACGCTCGGAAACTTCCCCTTCTCTGTCATCCATTTGAAAAAGAATCGAGGTGTCAGAGCACTTGAAATTGGAGCATTCTGATCGGCACGAATTCAGAGGACATCGTTCAGATGTTTTGAAAGATGTTTTCTTGAAATTCTGATGAGCTGTCATGAACAAAGACTTTGTCATGTAGTTGACATTGTTGTGTCCCGGAGGTATCTGTCATGCATGATTGCGTGACAAGCTAAAAACATATAACCATGATAATAAACAAATCCAGGCTTTAAAAGATAAAAATGTTTATTTCAAGATGTTGCAACACTCACACTCACACACTATTACAAGGATGTATATCTTCCTTCTTAAAAATATGAAAATTAAACAGATGAAAATCAAAATGATTAGCACACGTATTAACCAGTTAAGGTTATTTTCGTTTCCCATGGGTTCTTCTTCCACCATTGCTTTGGCTTCCCGCAATCAAGTCTTCCTTTGGATTCTTCTGCCAAGTTCTTACAAAATCATTCTTTGATCCTTTTAATTTGCGGAGTTTTAGCTCCCTTGTAAAATAAGACATAAGAAAAGGTTTAACCAGTGAGATAAGGATATATTTCACCGTTGTTGACTTCACATTTTCTTCACTGAGGAAAATAAACTTCTTTGAAATGCCACCTCGTCGACAAAAGAAAACGAACAATAAGTGTTTTTTACAAATTGGGGCCATTTAACGATAAATAGTTCTAAGTCATTTTTTTAACTTTTCATTATTCATTTATTTTTCATGTATCTATTTATCTTATCCGATATGGATTTTTAGATAGCTGCCACTTTACTGATAAGGGAACTAAGAATTTTTGCAAGAATACTAACAACTCGGCGTTTTAATTCTGGTGAATCTTCAGATCAAGAGAGAAAGGTATTGAAATTTTTTCAATAAAAAGGAGAAAATATAAGAAAATAAACGAGGAGTGTTTTTCATTTCGCAAAACACGTTTCGACCTCCCTGTATGACACCAGTAGTTGTATACAATTCGATACATTAGACGTGCCTTACATAGTAACAAGTGCTCTTTCTTGTACTTTGGGAATTATGCCAAACCACTGATTCTACCTTTGAGGAACAATCCATTTGCATTTGTGGTGTATTCGGTAGACGTTTCATAGCAAACTCGTTCTCAGGGTCCTCTCTCTTAACGAGGACCCTTGGAACGAGAGTGATCTTATAGCAGACATAGCGAAATGGGAGTAGGGTTGGGGACAATGAAGAATGGAATGGGACAAGACCTCCAGTGGCTTTTACGTTCATCGACTGCACTTACTCGTAGAAGCTTTTCTTGATAGCACTTCGAAACATTTGCAGACTACCAACTGACATCAAAATGATCACCAAAATGTTACCAATCATGTTTAAATGCTGCCGACGCAGTTCCTCTCGTGTGAAACCTGCCAGGGAATTACATGACAGCTCAACACTTAACCGTGTATCATCATCATCAACACTATCACTGGTATCGTCATCGTGATTATTATGATCATCATCATCATCATCATTATTATCACTACCATTATCATCATCACATTTTGAATTAAGTCTGATCGCCTCAAGTTTCATAGAAAAAAGAACACACCAGAAGTTTTCAAGCAGAAAGTCATGCGAAATTCAAGCTTTCTCTACGAAAAACGTACATCTGTACATGAACACTTAATAATTTTGAACTTCTGAAGTTCTTTTGTCTTGAGCTAACCTTGTTTTCCATCGAATTCCTCGTCCAAAATGCATTTCAAAGTCCAATCGATTAAATCCTGTACATCATTCGTGTGATCCATAAACCATAAGTACGCAGTTTTCTGAATGATTAAAAAGAAGCATGAAATACTTCTTTATTGCAGTTTTTCAAACTGGAGAAGATTTCGCATCATGCGGAAGGCATTGTTGATCTGAGGTCAAGGATATCTGATTGCATACACAGCGGAATAGACACACCAGTCAACTGTACCGAGAACTTATTAGAATATAGGCTATGAGCATTAAAAGCGTTGCTGGACGCTCATTTCTCCGCCGCGTGGTAGATTTGAGACGATTCGGGGAGAAGTTTTCGTGAGTTTAGCACTCATTATCAGTGAAAAAAATCAGTGAACACTCAGCATACGCATTAACTTAATCGGATGCGCATGCTCAAGTTTATCACCTTCGTGAGGTCGCTTACAGCAAACTAGAACTACACACTACGCGCAAAAACCGGAACAGCGGGAAATATCCTTCACGACATCTTATTGCGCTAGAGAGGGATTCCGTCAACCTTGGAAATTAATCATGAACTTACTAAGGACACCCAGAAGGGTTGAACACTCTTCACGATGAGTCCTCGTAATTCTTTAGGATGTCCGTTTAAACCTTAAGAGAATAAGATAAAATGTGACAATAATGAACTCGGGAAATGTCAAAACCACTAATGTTACCAGCCTCGGTTAATTGCTTTATTGATAAACTGAAACAGTTCTAACTGTAAAAGCGGAACTACTGCGAAGGGGAATGAAGGTGTGCAGCCCCAAGTTGACCACTTACTCAACCGATCTCGGTCTAAGACAGGTGCCTCCTAGATTCAGTTTACACTGACTCAATTGTTCTGGGCCCAAGGCAGTTGTAGTTTTTTTTTTTAGAGCATATAAACCTTGCACGGGTTTGCATAGGATTCAATGATCTTTCTCAGCTCCTGAAACAGAACCAAGCCAGGAATCATTTGGAAATCGCGTTTATGGCGCTAAAGGTCCATGCTCTTTGTCTACCTCAATCTTACAAGTTGGTTTTTTTTTCTAAGAACTTAACTCTAAGAAAAAACGAAGACGGTTCTTACCTGAGCCCACGCCGGGGAAAGAAGCAAGAAAAACGAGGCACAACAGCCCGCTCCAAATAAACACGAATCGCATTTCAACTTTGTCAATAAATTGCTCTCGATTTGCAAACCGCAGACAAAATGTCAGAGCCACCAGAATGATGATTTTCAAATGATCACTTGCATGTCGTCACAGAAGACTTTTACTTCGAGCACGAGCGCGCGAGGCCTACTTCCTAGCGCATTCTAAGAATGCGTGCACTTCGTGCCATATCACTGGCTTTAAAACTGTTCGAGAATTTCCTTTGCGAATAGTTGTTGCTCTCAAGGAGGGAAAGGGCAGGTCTTGCTCGTCTATTGAACTCTGTTGCGGTTTAGAGAACGTGAGTATATTTAGTTTACGTACACTGCCGATCCACCCTTCTTTGTCTAAAAATAAAGGCAAAACTGGGTCTGATCAAACGCCAGTAGGGGAAAATGAATGATCAATCAGGCCTCTTACAGATGTCACATCAGTTTTGCTATCTAAGGCAGAATTCGTACACGTGAAATATGTCTGGGCAATTATGAGTCAAACCATCCAAATTTTCGCACCTTTATTTGCGAAATTCTTCATTACAATTACTGAAATAACTTATTATACAACCTAAACGGAATTCTTAATTGACAACTTGAAACATATGGATATATAATGTTCGCCTGTCGAAGAAACCCTCTGCGAGAACTTGCCTCGTTGAAACGGAGATTTCAAAATTAAAGGTTGACAGGCAGAACGAAAGATATCCAGTTACGGTGACACTAAACCCTGTGAGAAAAAATACAAACGCAGACATTTAAGAGAAAAAAAGCCAAAAAAAGAGAATGGCTTCCACTTTTTTTTTTCTGATTAAGAGAAAAAGTTGCGTAACAAAACCTACACTAGATATGGCAGGTAAGTAACGCTCTTGAGTTTTTAATATCGCCGTGTTTTTCTCAGGTTTCTATCATACCGTGGTGAAAAATCTCGTTCGAAACAAGTCTCAATGGAGAGAGAAAAACAAAGAGGAGACTAAGAGCTGTTAGATTCGGAAATTAAAATCAAGGTATCGTAATCAAAGCATAAACGAGTAGCCACCTTTAAGTGAGCTGTGTACTGCAAGAACCAAAGATTCTTTCGTGTATCAGTATCCTTCTAACGCTCCTTTGTTATTTAACCGAAAAAATATCAATTTCATATCTGATACAACTTAATAAAGTTATTTGTTTAAGTAAAGGTAAATATCACCTATTATTCAACGAAAATGGCCTGAACAACCACTCAACTTCTGATGAAAATGATATAACTAACAGTTACCAGTGACACATTTTGGAAAAAACCGCTACGAAACAAGTTCCCTCACAATTTGCTGACCAGTCATGTCGAAGGTCAACCGACATGCATCATAACCATAGTTAAGGTTTCTAAACTACAAACTGAAAAATTATAAATCGCTTCGTCCTTTCGAACTTCAGCATCCATACAAGAGGCTACCAAAAGGTAATACCGATTAGGACCCATTCATAGAACCAAATGAAATGGGAAAACAAAAAAAGAAAAAATATAACACGCGTCTATAAGTGGGAAGATATGAATTCCCTTATGATATGAGAAAAGTAACCATAAGATGTTACCACAGTCACACGATGTCTTAATCCTTTAACTCCCAGATCAAATTTGTAATTCTCCTTACTATCAGCCATACAATTCTTGTAATGCTAGTTCTGGGAATTGGATCAACTCATTATCCCCAAATGGAAAATTTTCTTTAATCTCATCACTTATCTGGTTAATATTGTATTGATATTGTAAGGAGAAATTCTGTCTTGGTCACTCATGGGAGTTAACGGGTTAAGCAGCCACTCCCTACCCCCACACGCAAAGTTGGATTTCCTGCAAGCCAAACTTCCAAACTTGGTCATTCCATCCGTCATTACTTCATAAACAATTCATTTACTTATTTATCTAGAGAGATAAGGTCATTACCAGTTTAGACAGGAAAAAAAAATCACAAGAAGTATTGTCAACGTAAAAGTAGAAAAGACTTGAACTACCCTTCACAATATGTTTAATGTTACATTATCATAACGCATATTCAACTGGACTGAAAAAAAGAACCTTCATAACATTGACCTTTCTTCCCATAGCTGAAAAAAGTTGAGTTAACAATTCATGCAAACGACGCGTACTGGCAGCCATATTGAATAACTAAAGAGCGTCTCCAGTCCCCAAAGCTATCTCAATTCAGAGCTGTTAGCTTAAGATCTCAGAAGCCTATCCATACCCTTTGCTACGATTTATCCTTCTGAACCTAGAAACATTTTATATCTTTAACCCTCTCGTCACCTAGAACATGTTGCCTTCATTGTACAAGCCTTCAAATATCCAACATGGCCGCCAGCAAAAAAAAAAATATATACTCTACCCACCCCACTCCCTTTGAACACTAATGCTACGTCATTCACGACGAGGGCATAGGGATAGCGGAATTCGCTGTACTGTTGCTGGCCGCGCTGTCAACACCAGGTGATTTGGGGGGTTGCTCGCTGCTTGTGTCATTTCCGTTACTACCGGGCTGCTTCGTTATCGGATCCTCCTCATCTTTAACGTCGTCAAATTCGAAATCCTCCCACTGCTCGTCTGGAACTGGCTTGCACTTTCCGCAACAGAAATTACAACAGAAGAAGCAGCAACAGCAGAAGTAACAGCAAGTTATGATTCCGCAGAACATGAACAGCGCCTGTTCAAATAAACGCGTGCGCGCAGGATTAGCGATGTCATATGGTCGACTCGTCACCACATCAACAAGATAAATTATCATGTGCGCTCGATAAAAAGAACAGAATTTCAAAAGACATGGCATTGTAGAGCAAGAACAAACAGTAGCCTTACTGAAAATATCCAAAACAGAAAAAAAAGAAAAATTAAATAAGTGCTCTACCACGGCCATTCATTATAAATGTAATGATCTTCATTATCCTTCAAAATCTTTTTTGACATGACCTAAACAACTACCAACTAATTACACTGAAACCGTTCGTACTCTGACACAAAGCTTTACGCCACAAAAACGCATTCACATTTCGACCCTACACATGACTAAAAAGCGTTCAAAGGCACTTGCATTCGATGAAATCAACTTTGAAAGCTTCTTTATTTTCTGGATAGAAACAAAAACCTGCATGATTTCCTGTTTACCAGACACCATCGGTTGTTAAAGTGAACTTACTTTACACCAGCCACTGTTGAGCCTGAAGTACAATTTGACATTCTGTGGATGAAAACGAGAAGAAAGTTAGCAGCATAATTCCGACTGACTTCTTTTCTCTCTTGAATAAGTAATTAAGAGACCCTCTAGATTCTAAAGGAATCATCTCAAGGTTGAAGCCTTGTAAAAGTCAAAGAGAATAGGCACGAACTAGCTAAGGCTGTATCAGGTTGTCGTCACCGTCCTTTCAAGACTTTCTCAAACCCAGTAGAGGGTTGTGGGACAAAGAAGGAAAGCAATTTAAGGTTGTTAATGACTGATTCGTCAGGCTTTGTTCGTGGGAACTGATCCAAAGGTTGCCTTAAGAACAAATGGTGCAAATTAAACCAATTTAGAAATCAGCAATTGAGTGGGCGATATTCCCTTTACTGTAATAGCGACATTAGAGGAAATATTGCGCTTTTCGATTGAGTTTCGTAAAAGCAAAACCTAGGTAATCACAACAGCCAAATAGAAGTAGGGAAAATAGCTTTTGGAGCCAATAAGAGCTCAAATTAAAACAAAAAAAACCAAACCCCCTAAAGCGCGGGAAAACGCGGGCGGCCAAGTCGTTATTTGTTTTAGATTTGCATTTGATTGATTGAATGACCAGTACGAGTTTTCTGGGCCAATCATAGCGTGAATTAGATTCACTCTGATGAGACAAGATGAAAACCGGATTCCTTTAACGCTCAATTGAAAATTGCTCTAAGTTTCTTTCGATATCGCACAACTCTTTCGCTGGAGAGGTTAGAAGGACAAAAAATGAAATCTAATGAATGTGTTTATTCATTTCTATCATTTATCTTCTCTATGTCTCATTACTATTGCACTAGATACATCAAAAGTAGCCTGCTAGTTTAATGTGCAATGTAAAAAAAAAAAGTTGTGAAATGATCTGAATCTATTCAAGAGACATTCTATAGAAGTTGTACACACGCTTCACCCCTCTGAATATTGAGAACATCAATCTGTAAAACTCTGTACGCAAGGTAATCTACATCTAACATTTCAAAATTTCCTTGTCACAAAAATGAAAATTGTGAATTTTAAAGAGTTACTCCTTATCAGTCAATTAATATTTCATGACATATTTCTTTCAAAATAAGAAGCTAATGGACCTGAATCAGATCGAAAGATCTTCAGGCGATTTTTCCACAAACTGTTCTAGCTCGTTCGAAATTTCACCCACAACCGAAGCGTTGACTACCTTTAAAGCACCAGGCTTTTCAGAAAACTTAGTCTCGACTCTTTCTTTAAACTTTTGGTCAACAATGGTACCATCGATATCCAAAACCTCAAGCGCGGTTAAAGACGAGCCGCTTTGAGATAAGACATCGATAAACGCATACGCTCCCGAGTTTCGGATCAAATTCTGACCAATGCGAAGAATTTTCAAATTTGAGTTATTAACAACCCCCTTGGCAAGGAAGCTGGCTGCTTTGGCTGTGAATAGATTTCCACAGGCTGAAATTTCAATTAGGCTTTCGTTGTCAGCGATTATTTCGCCAAGAATTTCAGCTCCAACGTCGTACAAGTAATTCCACGAAATGTTCAAAGCCCGAAGCGATTGCGTACATCGAAGACCGGGCATCAAGGCTTGTAAGCCAGTTACTTCAAGCTGATTTGAGTTGAGGGAAAGCTTTTCGAGAATAAAATGACTCTTTAAGACTCGCGACATACGTTCAGCGAATTGATCGCATAGAATATTATGAGATAAGTCCAGCTCTTTTAAGACAATTTCGCCGCAGAGGAATTCAAGAAACACTTCCATGTCTTGATCTGTTAGGTCGTTTCTCGAGAGATTCAACTTTTCCAGAGTTCGATTTTTTCTGAGCATCTCTCCAATACTGGAGACTGCGTTTCGCCCGAGCATATTTCCGGACAAATCCAGCTCCTTAACAGAAAAGTTCCCGAGCAATCCTTCTGCAATGGCCCTGCCCCCTTCGTTTCCAAGGCGGTTGTTTGCGAGAAACAAACTCACAACAGTCGAAGAAGATAGAAGCTCCGTAGCAATTTCATATGCCCTTATCGGGCCCAGCACCCATCCGTTCAGGTCCAGCTCTTTATCAAATCGATGTTGTTTAAAGTACTCGAATGGGTTTGATCTTCCTTTCTCGGCGTCCATTACAGTCGCGATAACTTTAGTTTCATTTTCAATTTCTTTTTCTCGGCTTCCATTTGAAGTTGAATTCTCCGTAAAATCTTTCTGCGAATGTCTCTTCCTCGAATCTTTTTCCATCTTGAGGGAATTTTCGGCGTCGAAAACTCTGCTCTGCGCTCCAAAAAGCAACCGAGAATGGCTTGTTACTTTGGGAGAATCGTAACCTGTTTGCACATTCCGCAATTCAGAATCTTCCATAGCATTCACTTGAAGCCGATTCCAACGCCAAAACAAAGAGCTTTTATTATCAGCTGGAGTGCTTTCTTTTCTTTTGGGAAAGGACATCTTCAAAATAAATCAGCTCTTTTCCTTTCAATTATCACCTAATTGACACTAATTCTTGTACATTGCACGAATGGGGCCCTCTCTCAGTGTGAAAACAAGTTTACCTCTTTTCTCAGTGTAACCAAGGTGTAACTTTCCTTCAAAATGTTTAGCTTTGAAAACAATGAACACAGACTCTTCCCCTTCTCTTTGAAGACCAAATACTATAACATTGATTGGTCTGATTCTTGAATGAATAATTGAAAATGATTACGAGTAGTTTATGAAAATCTCTCATGTTAAATTAATAATTTTTCGGGCTGGACTTTAATACAAAAAAATTTACAGAGGGAGGAAAACTGGAAAAAATAATTCATATCGCAAGAAGACAGTAGGCATGAAAACCAAGCTAAATACGACCGTTACTATTTTATTCCTTGTAAAGAACTTTTCATCGATAATTCCCTTGAAAAAATTATTTGTAATTCCCTTCAACCATGCCAGGCGAAGCTTCAGTAACGAAAGAATACATGTATTTCTGAATTGCGGTATACTTCCGTGCAATTGAATGTAAAGAAAAAAAACATAAAAACAAAAACATAAAAATATCAGGCAAAGGACAGACTGCTTCGTTCGACTGTTTCGTTCGTTTGCACATTAACTACCAAGACTATCTCAACTTTTCTTTCATATCCCTGAGGACTTAAATATTAAATGCGGTACCGGAAAGGCTTACAAGAACACTATCGTCGTGGAGTGTTTTTTTCCTTAGTGGGAAAAAGACACTTTGCATGTTGAAATAATTTTTTAAATTTTACTACATGTATCCTCCACCAAATGTCACCAATACCATTTTCAAATAGCCCCATACCGGGGAACGGGTTGGGAAAAGGGCGTTAAAATTTAATAAAAGACATTTAATCTGTCACGTGATAACTACTCAACTCTGCTTATCCTTCAATACACTGTTAAAGAAACATGTTTTCTTAGGGAGAGAAGAATTTGCTCACAGGTCACTGGGGTAAAAGGTTTATATCAGAGATATTGTTCATGTACTGAGAAGCCTATGTTGTGGAAATCTCTATTTATTATGATACAGATCACACCAATTTACAATGAGAGAGGCATAGCACTTGGCATCATGTAGAGGTGAATGTTGTGGAACAAAAGGTCTTTTAAATGAAATGATGTCTTGTGATGTTACTGGGAGTTTTTTGGGGTTTGATAATGCTTTCAATACACTTGTAAACACTGCTTTCCATGATGGGATGTTATTTCTAAAATAGTCTTTCAAACCCCAAACAATTGGGAAAATTTCAAAAAAATCTCTGTAACAAAAACACGCAGTTGCGCAAATATTGCTTAAATCAATAGAAAACAAAATCAATAAATTTGATCTTACCTCTTCTCCAAATTGTTCAGCTATATAGAGACCCATAGAGCCATACTTGTCATAAATTTCCCTTTTACTGGGATCAGCTAATATACTATGTGCGTGATTGACTTCCTTAAACTGAAAAAGAACAAACATTTGCATAAAGTCAGAAAAAATAATTATTCTTAGAGTTTGTTTTAATGAAAGATCACTGTGGCAACGTCACAACATTAAAAGGCTTCTGACTGAGTGTGAGGCACAGAATATGCACGCAATATGCATAATTTATGCATAATTAAACATGCTGGATCATTAAAACTCCCCAAAACCTGCATCAATTAATTGACCCTCTGACCCCTCGTAGTGACCAGCATATAATTTCTCCTTACAATATCACCCCTGAATCACTCATTCATGTCATGAGAATAAAGAAAATGATCACCAACTAAAGAAACTCTTGGTTGCTAAACAAATTCTCCTTGTCAGCACCTTAGAAAATGTATGGAGAACAGTGCAGAGAAAATGCAAACTGATGTTAGGGTGCAGAGGGTTAACATTCTTACTAGTGACGTGTGCTTAGAGCCAATATTTGTAACATCCTGGTGGATTTTTGGACTGTTTCCTTTGTTATCATCACAGCTTCATCAACTGTGTTAGAAAAATGTGTTGTTGTTCTTGCTTGCTACGCATTTTCGTGGGAATTTGGACAAGTTATGGAGACATACATGAAATCCTTGAGGGCTCCTAATGCATTTTGGGGTCATATCTGTTTCAGTGGTGTCTCCCCTTCAGAAAGTCCCTTAAGCTAAAATTTCTGTCAATAATAAGAAGGCCAAATTCTAAGAGTTTCAGAGTTTTCCAAGACCCATGTTAGTATGAACATTTCCTTTTTCTCCCAAGCAAAGATTGACTTACTTTTTCTGTAGCTTCAGGATTATTAGGATTTTTATCAGGATGGTGCTTCAGTGCCATCTAATAAAACAAAAACAGTTTTTTGATTAACATCTGATATTGTTGTAACACTATAATTGTGATTACACTTATATATTACATTAATAAAGATAGCCATTAAGATGGTACATGTATATCATAAATTCCACTATTTTGATTGTTTGACAGGCCAACACACCTGATCTCACAACCACAGACTTTTCCACGAAAATAAAGCACATATTTTGCAAATTATTTGGATATTTTCTTGAAAGTTGTTGAAAACACATTTACTTCATTTATATTGAGATTTACACATGGAAAAAAAACATGCGTAAGATTTGTACAAAAATACCAAACCAATTGTGACTGTGAAAAGTACATCATTCCCTTAATCAAACACATGAATGATAGTTTTTCAAAGGGAGGGCAACAAGCACTTGATTTTCTGTAACAGCAAAATAAAAGAGGAAGTGCTAAGATTTGCTGAAATATGAATTACTTTTTTCTCTTTTAAGAGACTTTTAAGTTAAGTCTCGCCATCAGCAAATTAGCATGAAAACAAATAACAAAATTTAAAATATATAGTTGTAAACAGACTGAATATCATGTTACAGAGCAGATTTGGCAGTGTTCTTAAAAATATTTGCTCTTGCACTTAAAGGGCTTCTAATCTTTGAAGTGGCTTAGTCAGTAAGAAAAAAAAAATCATTACTTATGAAATAAAAACATCATGCTATGGAAAAGCTTTACAATTTTTATCCACATGTTGCAATGAATAAAAAACTCACTTGTTAGCTGCCCTCATTTGTTAGTTCTTTGATGCATCACAACTCTTGAATAAAATTTGTTTGTGCACACTTTCCATGAAAAAATCCCTTTATATTACACATGCAAATTTGATAGGTGATACCAGCCTTGTTGGCTGTCTGCCATCTCATATGCAATGTAGGTAACTGTTTACAGTGTGTATTTATGGGAGAATGCACAAAATACAAGCTTGCTATACCCTAATAGTCATGGAGTCAGACTAGTAGACAGTAAGCCTTCAACTCAACCACATAATTCCCAGATAATGAATGATTTAAAAGACAAAAAGGCAGAAAACTAATTAACAAATCTGCTGGCCATTAATGTGATACACACAGAATGACATACAAAGAGCAATTATTACTGGATGAGGTTGAGCATGATATCATGAATTATCAATGTGGAGGTCTAAGTTACACAGTCACAAGATTTGATAATTAATGATATCATGTGAAAACTGAATTCAATACAGCAATTTTTTTTATTACTCATTTTTCTAAACAATCTGCAAAAGAAGACACTTCTCTCTAGCTTTGCAAAAGTTTGAGAACACCACATAAACAAGGGGCTCGCAAACTAGGAATAGTTTGAACTCCACATGATAACCCAATATCTGCTGAAGACATTGGGCTACCATCTCAACTTCACACATTATTGTATATTGACTGTATGCTCTCAAGCAATCAGAGGGTTTATAGTAAGTCTAATGCATAATACTTAGAATTAGTAGGGTGGCATATCAATGCATACAAATGTAAATCTCAGAACAGAAGGCTACAACCAACAATTACAGGACCAAATAATTCTGAGTAATTTTATGCCTAAAATTAATCACAAATTATCCATGCATGATGCATCAGCAACAGAGTCACAGTTTTAACAGTGTGTTCTGAAAGAAACCGTGATGTGAGTGTATACATATCAATAAAAAGAGTTCACATCTGATCTGAAGATTAAAAAAAGTGTTTCTGAACAACACATAAGTCAGAAAAGTTCTCTGTTAAAAAAGCTCAAAGCAATGTGACCCCCAACATAAAATTTCACACAATCATCCAGTTTCAAGGTAAATACCAAAATTTCAAAAAAATTTGAGCAGTTTGCTGAATGCTCAAAGTTCAAAAATTTACAGTTGTGCAGGTCTTATATCTTTCACAAGCAGCCAATAAGTTATTTATCCTTATAACATAAAAATGCTGTCAACCAAAAAGATGACAAAAATATAGAAAACTTCTGACTGAGGACCAAATTCTCAAAGAACAATTTCTAAGAAATGCATTTCACTAAAGAGAAGTGATACTGAGATGTTAGGACAATAAGGGCTGAATGTTTAAAGGAAAAGAAAAATTCATGTATGGACTTTAATTTCCATTTGAACCATTTGCCCACATTACAATCACATGACAAGTTTACAAGTCTCACCTTCCTATACGCTTTCTTAATTTCCTCTTGTGTTGCACTTTTGTCAACTCCAAGAACATCATAGAGTGAAGCCCCGTCTTTTCTGAAATAACAAAATGGTAACAAGACTAAGGATTTTGCTACGCCTGAATTCTTTCCAAATAATTTGGTAAACAAACCCTTGAATGAGCATCAGAGCGCAGAATCTGAAGGTCTGAGGTTTGATTCCTCATGGGGACCCAGAATTTTTTCTTTGTCCCACGCGCATGACAAGACAAAAAGAAAAAACAAATTTCTCTTAACCCTGAATCTTGTCAACTACTTCCAGAAAAAATGCTCAGGTACATGTCCAAATTAGACTCTCAAATTGCGGTAAGAAAAAAATTTAAAGGTGGTTTAAATCATGTTGATTGTATGAATTGTTTCACTTATGGCATTTAGCCAAGATATTTATGAGACAGAGAAAACCCTCCGAAAGGCAAAAAAAAAAAAAAGATAAGGTAAAAACACAGACAAAACATCATTTGTCTTGGAGTTTGCTAACTCCAAAAATGTTGTACCTTAATTAAATACTTGGATCACTAAAATTCATAGAGAAATACTCAGGATAATGTAAAAGAATACATGGTACAAATAAAGTCATGCATGACTTAAAAGCTTCCTGCTTACGCAACACATCAATTGGACATGTATAAGTATAAAAAACTGATTAACATATAATACAAATAGTTATCATTCTTCAAAATTAAAAATAACTAGATGACATCATTGCAGAGATCTGCATCAAAAATTGACTGCATCACAAGACTAAAGAAACCACATCATTGCCCATAATAAACTGGTGGCCCTGCAGTGAAGCTTCATATCTATCATGCTCTTTTGGCCATATTTTGGCTGCTAATAAAATTAACATACACAATTTCTCTGTCTTTTCCAAATAAAATTTATGCAAATACAATTCTTCTCATTTAAACATACAGAGGTTGACAGTTTAAACTAATGCAAGATGACTCTCTAATATTCAGGAAATCAACAGTATGATCATGAACATCATACAACTGCTAAAAACTGAAAGATTATGTGACAGGATTCAAGTTAAGCAGCAATTTTCTAAAACATAAAGGTTCAAATAGAATCCACTTACTCTTTCAGCATAACATAATTGATTTCTACTTCCCCCATGTAAAAAAACCTGACCAAGTTTGATTACATTGCTGCTGAAACATTACCTTACTACATCCCATTGCCTCAGATCTATTTAACTTGTGAAAATGAAATTTAAGTTCCCTGTTCAGGATCATCATGGTAAAACTACTATTTGACAAAAGATACCAGCAGATATTTTAAAAGGATGTTGTTGCAATAGCCTTTGTTGGTTGTTATTTTGCCTATTCATGGTTATTCCTGTCTTAATGTGCTTTTTCCATCACCCCCAAGTTCAACTTTTAAAAAGTTAGCAAAAGGGCAAGTACTTAAGAATTATTTTAAGCTGTGATGTTCATCATTACAATAACACCTCAAATTCAGTGGGAAGTTTTTCAAACTAGGATCTTAATTAAAATAACGAAAACTTGATATTAGTTTATTTATCAAATCATTTTTGTTTACATCAAGAAAACCGACTCGAAACAGCTATTTACATATTTTCACGGTTCATGCGTTGGAACTTCTGAACTGATGGGAATTCTTTCCCCGAAAGTGTAACAATCTGTCTGTCAGGAAGTTTCTTAAAAATCACAATTTTCTTGGAACAATTAACAAGTAATTCAGCAGATCACATGACTAATTTTGTAAGCGACAAGATGTTAACACCATTCTGCAAACTGTGCTTTCAGAAACAGAGCATCCACTCAATTCGATTCCCCAGCAAGCGAAGGTAAAATGTGTGCGAAACCTAACTTACACAGTTAAGAAAAAGAAGCCTGACTTAACATGAATCGAGTACATTTTGCCTATTTCATTTGCTTCGATCGAAAAACATGGAAATTTGTGATAAACTTCGACAGTTGCGGGCACAAAAATCAATGCAATTATTATTTGTAGTCACGCCTAGGAGATATTGAAATCAGACGAGCCGTTATGTACAAACTCACAAAACACTTATCCCACCGGTTACACATGAAGCTACTGCAATCTTACAACAACGACGAAGCCATACTAAATAATAACAATCATCGTTTACGTGTGACAAATAGCTAAACAATCAACTGATGAACTTCCATTTCCTCTCGGATCAAAGGTTCGAAGTAGAAATTGTAAAAACGTATTTGTATTTAACAACCGCAAACCGATCCTGAACGTGCCAACAATGACCGACTAACCAAAGAACTTAAGACTGAAACGAAACAAGGAAACCTTGAAAGTATCAACGTAAATTGGAGTCTTTCGATGAAACTGCGTTGAATCCTGACAAAGATTTACACGCGGTATTTTTCGGTACGCTGTTGACATATTCAGGTTCTTTAAAAAGCCACACAAACTACAATTTAAACACAAAATGCTTACGCAAGAGCATGGTCCTGTCCTTCTCCTTTACTTTCGCCATTGACACCAGAATGCGGTGCCATTATACTGGCGAAACCGAGCGAATTTGGTAGTTAAGAAGATGCTACACCGTACACCATTACATTTCAACCAAGCACTCGCTCCCGCGAATCGTGACGTCACACACGGGTCATTCCCGAAACACCATGGACACGTGACCAATTTAATTCGAGTAGCTCAGGGCATCAATAATAACATGGAACGAAGGATAAAGCTTTCATGATGAATGAATTAGCCTTCCTTATCACCAAAAAGATTCTATACCAATTGATTGTACAAATACGTCTTGGGCAAGGCCCTATATGAATCTATGGGCGGTGAAAAAATGATACTTTTGATATACTAAAGCCATCATGACACCACCGCCTCTCTTGTTAAAATCTATTCCGGTGTACATTCAAGAGCTTAAAGACCCATGAAAAGTTAGCTCTCTGGGAAATTTCAGAGATCAATTATTCATCACTACTACCGAGAGAAAAAAAGTAAACTTTAATGAATCTTACATGGTATCTTAAACCCTTGTCCTCCTAAAAGAAAAAGAAAAGAAAAAAAAAAAACCAAGAAATCAAATCAACAAAGAAACCTTCGTCATGGGTGTTGGGTTCCCCAAACTGAGAAAAATTTACTGGGCGCCTAGATCTCGATATTTCGATTCAGTAACCATGTAATTGCATTTTTATCACATTATCCGGTGAAAAATAACGTTTAGCTACAAGTGGCGTCATTCATAACAATGCAGTAGTATTTAAGTTCATTTGCATCGGTAATAAGTCGCTCAAATGGGTGAAAGATGTCCGACGTAATCTCTTTTTATGAACCTCAAAAGCAAATAAAGGGAAGCTTAGATCAACATTCATGAGTCATACTCTCAAAGAGACTTTTTCCCTTCGTCATTTACCGCTGGAAAAATTGTGATTGTTACCCTTGGCATTAAAATTTTAGAAAAGGATGCCACTTTATTGGAGCAATAATCTCTCTTTGAAGTCTTTTTTTTTTTTATTGAATCTTCAAATTCGTCAGAATGAACTTAGAACAGTTATCTATCATTTACTGCAAATGCACTTACTTTATCCCTTAGTATTCTAAGCTGAAAACACTCTTCACGGTGCTCTTGACATATTATTGGTGAGCCCTTAAGTGCTGGTTTAGATCCCCAGGTCGATAAAGTGTTCTAGAGCCTGCTATTACTGATTTATTATAGGTTAAATGGTATTCTGTTTACAAGTAGAAAAGAGAACCTCAGTTTCCAGTTTTAATAAAACTGGGTATCCTACATTTAGGCATCGGAAAACATGACAAGAAGTCATGAATGATTCTTGTAATAGACATCAGCGCGCGCAGACTGGAACGTAGAAAACTATGCTAATCAATTATTTAATCGTGATAAAAAATCGTCACTAAGAGGTTGAAAAGGGATTTAAGTGGTTAATTGACAGCGTAATGGACCGACAACAATGAAGATTTTATATCAAGAATTTGCGATTACTTATCTGCCTTCCTTCGACTTTTGACCCAAAGTTTGGATAATTTAAAAAAAATTGTATGGGTTACAAGAGACTTCTCGCTTGTTCATGGCAAACTAAATCACCTGCGCTGATTTGGTGGAGGACCTACTTACTTTCAGGAGGCCATTGGACTTTGCGGATCACTGAAGGTTTGAATTTACATCCATCATTTCTTTAGCTGTAACATTTGCAGATCTAATGGGTCTTTGCAATTGCTTATGCGATGTTCAGTTTCAACGTGAAACCAGGCCGAACTTAGGCGTAGCGCTTGTGAATTGTATACTATGCCAGATTAGATAAACGAAAGAAGTGAAAAAAAATTCAAAATTTCATGTGTCCATTTCAGGCTAGCTGATCACACGAGCCGCTAAAACACATTGCTCCTATTTTGATCTGCGGTTTGAAAAAAGCTTTGTTGTTCATAGGTGAACTATGAGTATTCAAACAGATAAAGCCACTCTTTTTAATATTTAATACAACAAGGTAACAAAGATTCGTCCGGGGTAAAATGCGACGGCTTAAACATGAATAAGTTCGATAGGCAACGAATATCATTTGCACTTCGGTTCCGTTCAACGGGTATGGACCACATAAACAAACCTCTGATACAAGTCTTAGATCTTTCGTGAACGCTTATACTATACAGGGTTCATTCAGCTTTAGGAAAACCAGCTTGTGCGATGACAAACTAGACATATTTCCGTTACGCTTGGAGGTTTGGTTTTACTAAGGCCCAATCTCTTTCACACCCTTACCGACTCCTCCTCTTTCTCACGTCCAGAGCTGCCATCAATAACTGACCCTCCCTACCCTTGAGCCGTGGTCATGGTTTTTTCAGATTCAGTGGCAAACCAACTGTCTTTGCAAAATCTTACGGTACTGTTTCACGGCGCCTCTCGAGCGTCACTCATTGCAGCTGAATCTATCTTTGGAGGTTTCCCCACTCTCCTGGTATTAACTTTGTTCTATCCTAAATGATCCGATATACTTCTCGGTGTCCGTGAGGGAAAATTTTTTTTTGCTATTATGATTGCACATGGTTCTATCCGCCGAACAGCCCATTGCCAGCAAGTTCTATGGTTTCACAGTTGCATGGAGAAATTTCGATACCTTAATTATTTGGCGCTGCAGTTGATCAATGTTTGCGGACGTACAACTAGAGAAAGCAAGCAAAATTTTCTGCTTGCATTTAAAGCTTTAAAATGCTGTGCAACGATCTGTGAATCCCTCTTTGATTAAAGGGAATCAAAGTCAGCCGGTTTCCTTCGAAAAAATAAAACTTAACTTGATCAGATTTGACCTTAGACCGCGGAAAAGGAATTTTCAGACATAACGTGACATTGTTGGATTACTTTGTTTATTATAGTTTGTTGTCACTATTTGGTTGGGTTCATGTGAAAATCGGGCGTGCACAATCAGCAGAAATTGGAAGATCATGTCAGCTGATCCGAGTCATAAATCACTTTCGGTCGAACAGGCTGCATACATTTTCGACGTTTGATCAGAGGCTCGAAAACGTATTCTTGTATTTCTTTCCAGTTGATTAATCATGTAATTCTATTCACAACTCGTTATGTTTTCACAATGCTAAAAAAGTATGTTCAAAATTGTTTCAGGAATGGACTCAGTTAACTTGAAGATAGAAAACGCGATTTGCTGTTTGCGAGCTCAGTAATTACTTTGGCGACAGCGAGACATAAAGAAAATGAAATATTCCAGCTAGGCCACAATAACAATTCTAATTCAACGCCTTATGTAATGCTAAATAAAAAGCACTGCTGTATTCGTATGTGACAATTCGCCTGCTAAAATGTTCGAGTAAAGTCTAGAAGCAACCATGGGCTTTAGAATAGCGGGTTTTCCTTCTCCAATCAATGCAGGAAGTACCAATCTGATCAATATTTAGTTTTGATTTATTCTGCTTTCTTGTCGCCCGGCAATATTTGCATATTATTGTTGCAGGCCAATCGTTTATGACGAAATTAGCCAAAGTCTTGTATATATTTGTGTTCAGAGTTTTTTTTCAACTTTGCAAGATTTCCTCCGATGCATAGCCGTATGTGACGTCATCCAGAGAAAACCATTTGAATCCAAACAAATGCGTTAAAACAGGTGATCTGAGATGTAATGGTAAACATGAGCATTTTGCTCGCTCTAAATGAAAAAAAAAATGCTGAAAATATAATAATAGTTCTCCCCAAAGCTGAAGATAAGAGCGTCTCTGGCAGTGCTTCTTTCCGATCTTAAAGATATTTCACAGCCCGTGTCAGCGCCTAAAAGTGTTTCAAAAACTAAGCCATGATGCGGTTCCGAGTTTCGATCGGTGTTAATAAGAAGTATATTCGTAATTTTGCGACATTATTCTCCTTGAACTTAACAATGATCCCGACATGTTCGTCACACGGCAGAAATTAAGCCTTCTTACCTATCATCGTCCATCTTCTCGTATTCCATTCTCGCCAGTTATTGCTACGCAAGAGAACTGACAAAGTCGCAGAACTCGATGTCATGTCAAACCTCTCTACCCGCCATTTTCCCTCGATCGCTCGCACGAACGGTTAAGCCTCGCGCCACTGAGCATGCTCACTGCGGCCACTTCTGCGTCCATTTATGGTTTCCAATACCAGCTGTTCGTGCCGGGTTTTCGTAATGAAGAGAATCTTGTGAATAAAACACAACGAAGCTCAAACACATTACAGGAGAAACTGGGTTAATTACATTCAACACAGATTTGATCTGTTCAGTGACTCTGTATTTTTCGAAGCTGGCGCAGTTCGTATTTCCTCGCATAACCGGAAGATCATATTATACCATTACCTACACTCAACAGAATTGTCGATAAAAACAATGAAAACGAAATCGGAACAATTCATTGATTATTTAATAAAGAAAAAGAAATAAATTGCAACTTTCACACTCTCGCCGAAGACAATAACATTGTTCTATAAAATTGTATGCAAAGGCAGATGCAAATTTTCTCTCCGCAAAATCGCAATTAAAAAAACTAAACAAATGTCTTTCCATCCCGGTTCCTTCGTTTTGAGAAAAACGATCCTAAAATGTGTTGTGTCACAATAAATTTTCATAATTTTTTGGTGAAATAACATGAATCTTTTTTAATTTTCATAAAACCTTTTATTTTCAATAAAAATTATCGAGCAAACAAATTATGTAAGCCCATATTTTTTTTCGCCAAATATATAGAAATTTAAATTTATGTAACAGAGACGCTTGGGATTATTGTTTGTCTTGTACTAAAGTGGATAAAACATTTTGAGGTGAGTTTCCTCGCTAAGATGCATTTACCTGACACACGCGGTAAATTCATTAAATTTTCTGTTGTGGGTTTTTGCTAACGTAAGTAGGTGGCAAGCTCGGCCACATTCTCAAATTCACGAGCTATTTTTAAATAAATACTTGGCCACCGATGAAGGCAAGATGAACTTTACGTCTCTCAATGTTATCCTTTTTATTTCTCATCACCAACGAGCGTCAGACTAAACAAACGGGTGGAAATTTGTCCCAAAAAATAGCATGATCGAGCTGGGAATTTCAAACTGTTTACGGTCTTAGCCCTCGAGAAATACCAAAGCAGATTGTATCTGTCGCGGTTACACACGACATAACCACACAATCTTGTGAAACTTGTGCTGGAGATTAAGTTCCTACAGAGTTTTTGCTTTGTCTCGATCGGTCGAGTAATCCTGGTATATACAGCGAAAAAAAAATACGGATTGATAAAACGACCAGATCCAAAATGTTCACCTTTCCATGGTCATCAAACCAAAAACAAACAGAAGGCTAGATTAAGATCGTTTTCTGTCGCTTGGTTGCTAAGAAATATCTGCGTATGTGTGTTTTTTTTAAAGATTTTAAAATTATCTTTACTTGTCACAGTCGAAGAAGAAACGACTCCCCTCTTTAACGAGAAAGGGAGAATTTTGTAAGAATTTAACACATACCCAGGTACCCAAGGGTTGTAAGACGATATAGAGCCCCTTTCCCTTCTTAAGAACTTTGGAGATGATTGTAGAGTGGATGTCTGCAGGAAATGGGATAATCTGCGCAGCACAGTAACAACCGGGCGCTGAGAACCAACGCAGGCAAGTGTTTGCATCGATAGCAGAAATGACTCTCCTCTGTGTAGACTCCCTATGCAGTGACTGCTCGGAAACTGTGTGGTGTCTTGGTGGTGAGTGACTGTCCTGATTTGGTGCGGAAGGAGTGTAGAGAAAGAAAGAAAGTGGCAAGAAGTGGTAGAAGAACAGGGACCGTGCGAAGGGAGGGGCTGGGAGGGGGGCTTAAGGCCCCTCCCCCCTTTTTCGCAAAAATAACAACAAATTAAACAAAACATAATTTAACAAAAATAACGGAGCCAAAAATAGCCGCCCACTCAAAAACTTGCTACGCGGTCCCTGAAGAATGATTAGGAAAAACTTAGTTTTAACAACAGCACTATCACTGACAGAGGCACGCGATACAACAGGCCGGATATAACTTTTGTTCTGAAAGACAAGTGTAAGCAAATGATCGAATTCATGTTGTGCAAGATAGCCAGAATATTATGATCAGCGAGGCTTGCAAAACCAATCATGGTACATTGAGGAGTTTCCTTGGAAGTACAGCGTATGAACGAATTAAGAAACAGAGGGTTACGCTATATTAACCACAGACTTGCTAAACAAAGAAAGGTAGAATGCAACGACTAGTTTTAGACTACCTGAACCTTCAGCCAAGAAGCCTGGAAGTTTAACATGAGCTCTTTGATATGCTCCTTTCACGTAAACATGACGTTTCCAGTAATTTTATCAACTAAAAGGAGCCGCCATTATCTTACAGACAGTAGTACATCAAATTAAAGGTGGATAACGTTATCAGTAGCTTGGTAAAGATTTTTCTTGTATACAGATTTCTCTTAATTACTTGTTTAGCCACTTTTTTGTGGGATTTAACTTAGTGTAAGGTAAATGGTTAAAAAGGAAAAATGAAAAATGAACCTTTCTGTGAAGCTTTAAAAATGTTCCTCTATCCTGGGTTCACTCGATCTTGCTTCGTAAAACTCGGCCGAGACCTTTTTCTAAACGTAGTAAACAGCGGGTTCTTAGCTATGAAAATTTACCATGCGGTGGTATGTACTTTTTTTTCAAAATTTAGAAAAATCGCATAAGGTTAAAGGTAAGGCATGGTTAAATTTTAAAAGAGGTGATGTCTAATTTTTAGTATCAACAAAATTAAAACCTCCAGGATTTATCTTATGTGGGGGCTAATTAACGACATTAGTACTGTTTGGTGTATCAATATCATATCGCTATCAAATCCTACGTGTCTCAGCTTTTGTCCTATAGTCCAAAACCTACAGCTCTTTGGTTTGAGAATTTTCTTTTTTGGATGAGAGGATCTTGGTCATTCTACCCATCTGCCCAGACACGTCTCCCTTGGCGTTCGGCAACCACCCATACATTGGCATCGGATCTTGCTCGGCTGAATAACTATCATCACGTTCCAGCGCACCTCTCTCAATAAGATCCTCCACGGACCGCTCAGCGGCGGTTGTAACTACGCTCATGTCTTGTGGAAATGCTACCTGCCCCATTGTAAACGGTCCCATGTAGTAGATAGGAGGTGCATGAGGATCCTTAGCCGCAGGTACGAGAGAAAAATTGTTCATGTCAATGAGAGCACCGGATGGACGGAAATACCTCGTTCCATCCCTTGATACCACATTTGGATGATTTTCATGCTTATGGGACTTTAAAATGTTCCGAAAAGGAACCAAAATCTCGCTGACGAGCTTTCCTTCTCTCAGAGATCTCGTCAGTGGGGAAGGATCTTTCTCGAATGCACCCTTTTGACCAGTAGCATCTACTATCACATCATGACAGGCTTCAAAAGTTGTTTCTTCGTTTAATCTCCACGATACTTTGACGCCACATCTATCTTCCGCTTCGTCAATTTCGTAATCTTTGCCAATCCTTGTAACCTTCAGGTAGCCACCTTTCATTAGAGACAGGATCTTCTCAGCATTTTGAACTGGGAAAGGCCCAATTAGCAGATGGAGCTCGGTCTTAATTTCTTCAAACCTGATGCGATCCTCAGCCGAAAAGTAGTTGAAAGCCTCGTCAAATATTGCATAGGACTGATAAAAGACATTCTGAAGAAGAAGAGGTACGCCGCTAGTTAGACTATCTTTTGCCTCTTCCAGCTCACGGCTTAGTCTGTCGACGGGGTCAGTTGCTTGAAGCAGCTTTCTCATTTTAGAGACAGCGTCCTCAAGCGACACTGTCTCCCAGTCGTCTGGAAAATGGGGGCGAAGATGCGGAACTTCATCATAAATCTCTCTTTTTAGAAGATACCAGAAGTCATCCAGAGGCAAAAATCCATCATTGGCTTCTATTATGGGAATAAACGAGGAAGGTGTTAAATACTTATGAGCAAAGATTTTGTTCACAACCACGCCCATGACCTGTGGTAGCAATGCCTTCCGTCCATACATCGTCATCTTGAATTCCTCGGCTCCTTTAAAGGGAACAAACTTCAAGGTATTTATGCCTCTTTGACGACTGGCATGGAATGATCCATTCTTTTTGCTTAGCGTGAGTGCGGCGTCGATAGCTGATAAGGAGCATCCAAGTATTCCAATGCTCCCACCAAGCTGGCTCTTTTCTTGTATTTCCTTTGGTGGAAATGGCGAAGGAAGCCAGCGTGGAAAGTCAGGAAATCTGTTGTAGATCCAGTGGCCTGTGGCAAGAAATACATATTTGGCGAAGATTTTACTCTCCTTGTCAAAACAAAGCTCATATCCATAGCTCGTATCCAAATTGCCCATTGTTAGACGAACTGAAGTGACCTTTGTCTGTTTACGCACATCAACAATGAATCCCTTTTTCTTCAGTGCCACGACGAACTGTTTGAAACGGTCGCTTAGGTAGAGGCCCACCACAAATCTGGGAAATGGTTTATGCAGCCAGGCCGGGCTCTCAACCTTTTCAATTTCCAGACTGGCACGGTGCTCTGGAGAGAGTGAGCGAAGCCAAATTAAAAAATCGGATTGCTCAGAGAGCGGTATGTAGGTGGCTGTTATCTGTGTGCATCCACCTGCAATGTTAACGATGTGGTCAGGGATGGTCATGTTTTTGGCATATGGCATTCCCGGTCCTAATTCTTGGCTGGATTCCACTACAAGAATACGACACTCCTGTTGGTCTTTGGGTACCAAATGCAAGGACATCTGGCCTAGTACGGCTGTACCATAGGCACCGGCTCCAACCACTGCGATGTCGTACTCAGGACGAGATTCACTCATGTCTGAAAATACATCCTTTGGAAGTTAATAATTATTAGTCGACAGAATGCTTCATAGAAAAAAATTTGGAACGAGAGCTGCATTTGTCAGAAATCCCTGTTGGGCATCAGTCATCACATGAGGTTGTTGCAAAAGATCTCGCTCAACATTTACCAAATTGATGAAGAAGGAAAAAAAACGGCTGGGTTGCGATAAAAGCATTAAGAAAACTAATTTGTGGTTTTGTTATCTAGATCTTCTTGGAGGCTACAAAACAGCCACGGCTGTTTGACATTCTCAAGGCGAGACCAAGAAATTGCAGGTAATTTGTGCATGAGGCATAATTGTCGTAATATCTCTCAAAGGTCAGGATTTTCTTTCCTCTTGGCTGATTAGTTATAGCGACTATGCCATAAACTAACTTCCCATCCTAAAGAAAGCTAGTGAAACTTTTGGAAAGGTCTAAACGTCTGGTAGCACTCGAAGTCAGCTGGCTTTATTTTAGGGCACAGTTTCGTTTTAGTTGGTGATTGAGGGTCGCCTGTAATTAGGCAGAGAAGTGCCCACTTGCTGAATCTATGTCAACTAAGATTTGGGGATTTGAGGTTGGGTAGCATATTGACCCAGATAGCTCTAATTTAAAGGACTTTAAGCTCATATGACGTATTTTAAAAACTGAATCGAGTAAATGACGTCGTAGGTTCCCTACCTGCATATTTCACCGATATTCAAAAGTTGGATATTTTCAGATCTACACAGAAATTCGAAATCGTAAAACACTACTTTCTCTTATTCATTTAATTTTATCTGATATAATCCTTAGAAACGAGAAGGAGGTAAGAATTTGATCACAAAAACTTTACAAAACCTTGATGAAGGGGTAAGTTTCTAAAGAAACTGTGGTGCTGCGTCGATGGGAGGGTACAGCAGGTAATTTAGTGTTAACAACTGAGTGGAAACGTAAATTAGCCACCGTAAAGGGTAAAAAAGCTGACGTTTCGAGCGTTAGCCCTTCGTCAGAGCGATTGGAGGAGTTGTAGGTTGTGTGTGGGTTTATATGCAGAAAGTGGAGCTACTCCATTGGTGGGAGTATGGTGACGAGAAAACAGGAATAAATTAGTTGAACGAAAAGCGCTCGTTGATTCCGTGGGGATTAAGGGTACCGATTTGGAAGATAAATTTTTGTTCTAGTGTTTTACGGCTTTCCGAACTGCCTAGATGTAAGGAAAGGCCGCAAACTGCCATATGCTGTTTAGAATGATTAGGAAGATTAAAGTGTCTAGCAACTGGTTTGGATGCGTCCTTGTCATTTCTTTCCACGTCGTGAAGGTGTTCTCGGAATCGGTCACCTAGTCGTCTTCCTGTTTCGCCGATGTATAACTTATTGCAGTAAGTGCAAGTTATGCAGTAAATAACATTGGCGGAGGTACACGTAAAGTGATACGTACGTGATATGTACGTTTTCAACTCAGTTGTTAACACTAAATTACCTGCATTACAAAACCTTACGATGTTCCGTGACTTGGAAACACACGCCAACATGCCTCTATCTTCGATTGCATCTTTGGCTGTCTACGATTTCGTTCTGTTATATTTCCGGCATAGCGTGGTTATTGGGCTTATGTCAGGATAAAGTTTTGAATGTTATGGCGCTCGCAGTACAGCTCTGTCACGAATCATACGTGTCGAACAGGATTTGGAATTCGTTTTTCGCTTCAGTATTCTGCTACTCATTTGCGTTCTTTTTACTGGGATACCTGTGGTAGCCCAGTCATAAAATGCCTTTGTTTTTTTGTCGCGTTTTTTTTTTTTCCTCCGCCACAAAATGGAAAAATTGCGCAATAGTACCCAGTGGTCATTGGGCCCTCAACACCATGACAACTAACTGTGATCCAATGAGGTGTTCACATGCTGATCACGCGTGTTATCTTGATGATGATTGACGTTGTCATGCACGGACAGAGCCGGGTCACATGACGAACCACGAGATTTTTGCTTATAAAACTCTTTTGTCAGTCGTTTTGTATTTCAACGTGATTGGATTACGATCACCTGGAGCATTATGGCGCAAACGCTCAAAATACTTACAGACGCCTACACAAGCCGTATTGTTCGCGGCCAATCCACACTAAAAGATGTTGTTGAGTGGTAATTTTGGAACGAACGAACGAATGCCTTGGATGCCTTGTATACCTTGTATGCCTTGTATGCCAAGTATGGCAGTGTCTTAGTTGAAAAACGTACACTTGTTGTAAAAAGCAAAATCTGAAATCTGAAACCAAACTGCATATACTATATGCAATCTATTGACCAGCACTACTACCGTGAGACTGAAGAACAAAACTCTAATGGATCCAAACTGCTTGTGAAGAAAGACGCGATGTTGGATTCACTTGATGCCAGGGAACGTAGCTACGATAACAGTGCGAATGGTATTAATTTCACGATCAGAAAGGTGAATCTTATGTTTGTTCTCATGGTAGTTGTATGGATATTCTTGTTTAATAAATACATGATCCAAAATCCTGTGTTTTTTGTGTATAATGTTATTATGTTAAGTATTCTTTACGTAATTGTCTTGTCACAGGCCGCCCAAGCTCACGCCTCGAGAAAAAGCCAACGATTAATTCATGAACGCGTCACGCGTTGTGTGACTCGGTGTTAAGTTACGAGAGCAACCGTTGAAAATTTGAACACGTTATATGGAATAGTATAGGGAACGAAATATGGTCGATTTACAACGATAAATATTTAGAAACATGAACATTTTTCTCGTAAAACCCATACCCTGTGCATCCGATGTAGTTTCTGGCGATTTCTGGCGTTTTAAGCTTGCTTTACCATAACTGTTATTGACGTCATCTACTTTTAGTAAGTTGGTAAAATCCGTACAGACATTACATCAACCACCTCGCGCGCAAAGTAAGAAGACTATATTGAAGGCTCGAAATTATATTACGATCGATTTTCATCAAGAAATGGGCAGGAATTTTCCACAATAGTGCAAATAATCGTGAAGGCTGATCGCGGAAAAGCGATTGCGTGACGCAGATTTCAGATTCTCAGTCTGCATTTTGTACCCATTCTGCAGTCTGCAGTCTATATTTTGTATCCGGTCTGCTGTCTGCATTTTGTACTAACAGGTATCCGTGGCACCGATACAGTTTGTTTTTGGTTACATTTATTCGCACAACACACATAATCTACCACAAAATACCTGTGTGTAAGATAATTCGACATTTTCGTTCTTTTTCGCGTTAATACTCTTCTTTCCTTTTGTAAGAATGTAGACCACTTACAATGTTTCGAGTAATCCACCCAGCCTAAAAAAAATAACTCTTGCATGCACAGCGTGCCTATGTTTTGAAATAGGTGTATGCCCTTGGCCAGACTTGAGCTCACTATTTCAGTGTACTAGTCCGTCACCCGTAGTATTGCTACGCTTGATTCCAATGATACAGTACCATCCAGGTATCCCAGTTACCCTGCTCACAGGGTCTAGTTTTAAATAATTTCCTCTTGAAATGTGGAGTAGATGGTTCGATGGTTTATTGTGAGCGAAAGATAATAAAGCTAGGAGATTTTGATATGTTTAAATGAGATTTTTCGATCTGAGCGGTATTTCATGCCCTGAGATTTAGTAAAAAAAAAAAAAGCAGTTGGTGTTTATAACCCCCGATCTCATAGGGCGGGATTGTTTGAGTTAGTTGTTAGGTACTTATATCAAGTGATGTCATCATGTCGAATTTCTCGGAAATGCTTTAGCACACGGAATGACTTAATTGTTGGCTCTCGCCTTTTTACCAAGAGTTTTATCCAGGTTCTCCTTTTTCCTCGCTCCCCATAAAGGTATGCCTTGAAAAGAAGCATTTGATCTATTGGGCATTGCACGCATACAATGATCAAACTATCATCTGCTTAATTAACACTTTAGTATAAGTTCTACTTGAAAGCACTTGGATCTAGGATTACAAGGCATCTTGAACTTAAAGAATAAAATACATAACAAGGGAAACCTTCTTTGCATGTCGGTAATCGGAAATAAAGGACGTTAAATTTCCAGATCTTGCTTTCATTTGGCATATTGCAACGCAATTTTTCACAGAGTATTTTAAGCTTGTCATGTTCTGGGCGACCAACTTTGCTATTTATTTGGAGCAAATTGATACCTCTTTAATTTGGGGAAAAAGTAATTTGTACCGGCCAAAAAGAAAGATTTCATTTAACATCATTATTTCTAAACTCTGTCGAAATCTTTAGAAGCATTCGAGTAGTTTTACCATTATTCTGTACCACTTTATCACGTTAGAGATCACATCAACAGCATTGTATTTCTGCTACACTTCGGCAGTAGATTATTAAAGTTGTGCGGACTGCAATTTGTTTCTTGTTACACACACAAATCAAATTGCAGTAACAACTAACTTAAATGAGGAAAAAAAAAGGCGACAGATATTCTTAATAGACGCAAAAGAAGGAAACCGTTGAACTTACTTTTTTCAACTTTATGTCTTACTGGGTGGATTTCACCTCTGTTGTACACAAAGAGCAGCAAACTGGAGTGGTTTGATGATCTGACTGTACTTTGTCTGAAGATATGTTTCTTCGAACTCTCGTTTTTTTTTCTGATTGTTGCTGAATCAATGTCATAAAACTTCCTCTCCAAGAAAATGCGGACGTGTAGAACTTTCGCCAATGTTGCATCCGTAAAAAGGCCGCTGGTTACCATGGAGAACAATAAATAATAACACAAGATCACACCACTTTCTGACCACTAATGACGTCATCAGACGTCTTATTTCACTTATTTTTCCAAATATAGATATTTCTAGAACTAACACAGATGTTTGAAAATGGCCCATTTTCAAACATCTGTGTTAGTTCTAGAAATCATGACAGGACGGAAAACGCGTGCACTGTAAGTACCTCCCGTTGTCCCAT